GCAAAAAGTCAATTTTCAACTGTCAATATTTCCAAAACAGTTGAACTTAGGTATAGGGTATAATACATGAAATCTGCTCAGAATTTTACGTAGAATCCAAATATGCAATCACATACAGGATGTTCATTTAAAATAACAAAGTTCTGTCGCATACCCCATAAGCACCTCCAAAGCACCCTGTATATTCAAAAATATTTTAAACTAATCCATATTAGAATATCAAACAACTTTGTAATTCAAATTTTTTTTTTGCATCACCCTGTAAGGAGATATCGTCCGATATCGCACTAAGTGGACACCCTGTATACATACAGTGCGGCCGTAAAGTAAGGAATAAATTCAATAATTATTCTACCATGCAATTTATTTAAAATCCTCGAACACGTCAATTTTATTTTTTGTCGAGCATTTTTTATAAAATAAAATTATTATACAGGGTGGTCGCAGAAAAGCTGGACAGGTAGCAACTTAATTTTTTTAAATAGACACCCCTAATTTTTTTTACATTTTCGGATTTCTGATAAAATTCTAAGTATTTTTCGTGAAAGATATCCTATACCTATCTTCAACTGTTTCGGAAATATTGACAGTTGAAAATTGACTTTTTGCAACTTTGACAGGCTGTAAAACCTAAACGGTTAATTTTAGAGGAAAACCGATTTTACATTACTATCTTAGATTTTCATAAACTATCATTTGACACTAACTTTGAATTTACCCGGAGATTAAATTTAATTGCAAATTATAATCATAGATTAAATTCAAAGTTGGTGTCAAATGATAGTTCATTAAAATCTAAGATAGGAATGTGAAATCGATTTTCCTCTAAAATTACCCGTTTAGGTTCTACAGCCTGTCAAAGTTGCGAAAAGTCAACTTTCAACTGTCAATATTTCCGAAACATTTGAAGATAGGTATAGGACATGTTTCACAAAAAATACTTAGAATTTTATCAGAAATCCGAAAACGTAAAAAAAATTATGAATGTTCATTTAAAAAAAATAAGTTGCTACCTGTCCAGCTTTTCTGCGACCACCCTGTATAATAATTTTATTTTATAAAAAATGCTCGACAAAAAATAAAATTGACGTGTTCGAAGATTTTAAAAAAAGTTGCTTGGAAGAATAATTATTGAATTTATTCCTTACTTTACGGGCCGCACTGTATGCATTTTTACTTGTTAAGGGTAGTTTTTCATGTTTCGACGGGGTTTGAGTCAATGGGATTTTGCATGGGGGTTGGAAATTATGTTGAAATAGTACCCTAATAATTTCATGGCAAGACTCGAATTCCGTGTTGGAAATCAAAAAATATGAAAATCTGAATATTTAGGCCTTTTTATTTGTTAAGGGTAATTTTTCATACTTCGACGGGGTTTGAGTCAATGGGATTTTGCATTGGGGTTGGAAATGGCGTTAGAATAGTACTCTATCAATTTCATGGCAAGACTCGAAGTTCGAGTTGGAGAAAAATACGAAAATCTTAATATTTATGCATTTTTAGTTTTTACCTTTAAGGCTAGTTTTTCATATTTCGACGGAGTTTGAGACAAATGGGATTCTGCATGGGAGTTGGAAATGGTGTTAGGAAAGTACTATAATAACTTCATGCCAAGACTAGAAATCCTAATTGAAAAACCATACGAATATCTCAATATTTTGGCATGTTTATTTGTTAAGGGTAGTTTTTCATACTTCAAAGAGGTTTGAGTCTATGGGATTTTGCATAAAGGTTGGAAATGATGTTAGAATAGAACCCTATCAATTTCATGGCAAGACTCGAAGTCCGAGTTGGAAAAAAAAAACGAAAACCTTAATATTTGTGCATTTTTACTTGGTAAGAGTAGTTTTTCATGTTTCGACGGGGTTTGAGTAAATGGGATTTTGCATGGGGGTTGGAACTGGTGTAAAAGAATAGTACCCTATTAATTTAATGGCAAGATTCGAACTCCGAGTTGAAAAAAAAAAAAAAATATCTTAATATTTCTGCACTTTCGCTTGTTAAGGGTAGTTTTTCGTACTTCGTCAGAGTTTGAGTCAATGGGATTTCACATGGAGGATGGAAATGGTGTAAAAAAATAGTACCCTATTAATTTCATGACAAGATTTGAAGTCCGAGTTGGAAGAAAATACAAAAATCTTAATATTTCTGCATTTTTACTTGTTAAGGGTAGTGTTTCATATTTTGACGAGGTATGAGTCAATGGGATTTTGCACGGGGGTTGTTAATGGTGTAAAAATAGTACTTTAATAATTTCGTGGTAAGACTCGAAGTCCTAGTTGGAAAAAAATACGAAAATCCGAATATTTCTGCATTTGTACTTGTTAAGGGTAGTTTTTCGTACTTCGACTGACTTTGAGTCAATGGGATTCTGCATGGAGGTTGGAAATGGTGTTAGAATAGCACATTATTAATTTCGTGGCAAGACTCGAAGTCCGAGTTAGAAGAAAATACGAAAATCTGAATATTTATGCATTTTTACTTGCTAAGGGTAGTTTTTCATATTTCGGCGGGGTTTGAGTCAATGGAATTTTGCATGAAGGTTGAAAATGGTGTATGAAATAGTACCCTATAAATTTCATGGCAAGACTCGAAGTCCGAATTGGAGAAAAATACGAAAATCTGAATATTTCTGCATTTTTACTTGTTAAGGGTAATTTTAAGGACTTCGACAGGGTTTGAGTCAATGGGATTTCACATGGAGGATGTCAATGGTGTTTGAATAGTACCCTATTAATTTAATGGCAAGATTCGAAGTCCGAGTTGAATTGAAAAAAAAATACAAAAATCTTAATATTTCTGCATTTTCGCTTGTTAAGGGTAGTTTTTCGTACTTCATCAGGGTTTGAGTCAATGGGATTTCACATGGAGGATGGAAATGGTGTAAAAGAATAGTACCCTATTAATTTCATGGCAAGACTCGAAGTCCGAGTTGGCAAAAAATACTAAAATCTGAATATTTATGCATTTTTATTTGTTAAGGGTAGTTTTTCATGTTTCGACGGAATTTGAGACAATGGGATTTCGCATGGGGTTTGGAAATGATGTTAAAATAGTACTTTATTAATTTCATGGCAAGACTTGAAGTCCGTGTTGGAAAAAATACGAAAATCTCAATATTTAGACATTTCCATTTTTTGAGGGTAGTTTTTCGTACTTTGACGGGGTTTTAGTCAATGGGATTCTACATGGGGGGTTTTAATGGCAAGACTCGAAGTCTGAGTTAGAAGAAAATACGAAAATCTGAATATTTATTCATTTTTACTTGCTAAGGGTAGTTTTTCATATTTCGGCGGGGTTTGAGTCAATGGAATTTTGCATGAAGGTTGAAAATGGTGTATGAAATAGTACCCTATAAATTTTATGGCAAGACTCGAAGTCCGAATTGGAGAAAATACGAAAATCTGAATATTTCTGCATTTTTACTTGTTAAGGGAAGTTTTTCGTACTTCGACGGGGTTGAGTCAATGAGATTTCGCATGGAGGTTGGAAATGGTGTTAGATTATTACCCTATCAATTTTATGGCAAGAAGACTCGAAGTCCGAGTTGGAAAAAAATATGAGAATCTGAATATTTATGCATTTTTACTTGTTAAGGGTAGCCTTTCATATTTCGACAAGGTATGAGTCAATGGAATTTTGCACGGGGGTTGTAAATGGTGTAAAAAAAAGTACTTTAATAATTTCATGGTAAGACTCGAAGTCCGAATTGGAGAAAAAATACGAAAATCTGAATATTTCTGCATTTTTACTTGTTAAGGGTAGTTTTTCGTACTTCGAGGGGGTTTGACTCAATGGGATTTTGCGTAGGGATTGGAAATGATGTTAGATTAGTACTCTATTAATTTCATGGCAAGACTCGAAGTCTGAGTTGGGAGAAAATACAAAAATCTCAATATTTAGGCCTTTTTATTTGTTGGAAAATATACCTTCACTTCAATAAAATATCTGCAACACACTTGTAGTAGATTATTAGCTGCATGTTACCAAAAGTCATGTTGTGTTGTGTGTGAACCCAGAAAAATAACTTATTAGGGCTTTTCAACCGAGTTTTCAACTTCCCCTATTAGGTATAACTCTAATACAGGGTGTTCCGAAATTAATGCACCAAATTTTTATGGCATATTCTACGTCGAAAATAAGCCCTAGTTACCTATATAAACATATGTCCGGAAACGCTTCCTTTCCGAGATACAGGGTGTTGAAATTCTAAAAAAAAAAACTATTTTTTTATCATAATTCATACCACTTTGAAATTTTGTACACTGGTTTCAAGCAACCAAAGACATTTTCTGATGTGGAATATTTAATAAAAAAATTACCAGTGACGTCACAAAACTAATTTAAAACTTTAGGTCTTTAATGTTAAACATTTTTATCATAATTTTGGCAATTTCGCCATGCATCAAAATGGTTTTTTATTTTTTTACTTTGAAACAGTGCATCTTTCGGAAAAAAGTGAAGAGATCAAATTTGTTCTAAATTGAATGGGGATTTAAAAAATGATTTTTATTTTTGAAAAAGCAGTGGTGCACCATTTTTTTCTTAAAAAAAATTCCTTACAAATCTGGTAGGACGCCACTGGTAATTTTTTAAAAAAATAATTTCACATCAAAAAATGTCTTTTGCTGCTTGAAAGCAGCAGACAAAATTCCAATGAAATATCTAGAGTGGTTTGGAAATTATGATAGAAAAAAAGTTTTTTTCTTAGAATTTCAACACCCTGTATCTCGGAAAGGAAGCGTTTCCGGACATATGTTTATATAGGTAACTGGGGCTTATTTTCGACGTAGAATATGCCATAACAATTTGGTGCATTAATTTCGGAACACCCTGTATAACTTATAGGTAGGTACCTACTAAGTATATAGTTGATAGTAGTCATTTTATTGACAATAAAATGACTACAATAATAAATGCAAATTTGTCAAAAATCATCTGAACTTTTCATAAAAAACTAGATACTGAAATTTGAGCTAATAATAATAATAATTACTTACAACAAGGGGACAACGCCCATCCGATCAGCACACTCACTTCACTGCTAGGTAATTATTTCCTGAAAAAATAACAAATCGAGTTTGGTAAATCATAGGCAAATAGAAATGGAAATGCATTAATCATTTTAAATACGTAAGTAATTAATAGAAAAAAAAAAATGGAACGACGAAGCTTGCAACTCCTTTAAAGTAAAAATGTATACGCGTCGTGGTAAGAGAACCAAATCGAGAGAGAAAATGCAACGCAACACAAAATTCATTTCATATAACAACTGTAACCTTGCATTGAATAAGTGAAGTAGTAAGGGAAGGGAAAATATTCCGTTCAGCGTTGTGCTTGCTATTACAATTGTACTAGATTTAATTACAATTTACCAAATGCTATTGCGCTATTACTACAATAGCGAGAATCCCAATAATCTATACTATAGCGAAATTAATAAAATAATAAATGGTTGTGGGGAATCCAAATTTATGACGTTAGCATGTCGCAATGTCGTCGCATCAACTTCGTTTTTCTTTGACATACCATGTTGTAGTGTTTTCCCTTTGTTGTTAATAATAAATACTACCTATCTAATAATACTTCACGTTCATATTATTGGGCCACTTTCACGTGCGGGAATAATGGGAATATGGCAAATTATGATATTTATTTACGACTGACATATAATTAATGTAAATATTATATTTGTGATTTTGGCAGTATAATGCCATATATTACTCCGTCAAAAAAAATTACGTAGATTCCCACGTGGGGTACATTTGTACCCCATGATAAAAATGATAGGTACTTATGATAATTAAACATGATTTTATTTATACTAAACAGTTATAATAGATAAAAACAACCAGACAAAAAATAATTAGGAAATGGTATTTTCGACCAATGCATGCGATCTTTCGATTTATAAATCATTTTTCTGCCTTCTACTTCCCGTAAACTTTGGTTCTCTTCCTGCTCCACAGATACTGCTTGATTAGCTTTATTACCGTGATTCCTAAATTTTGCAGGTTGGAAATCTATTTCCAACCTGCAAATTTCCTGCAAGGTGACTACTTGATAGAGTAGCCACAGATTCTCATATACGGTACGTCATTGGGTACATGTGCCCCACGCTATGCAAACATTATTATTTCTAAAAAATAAATAAATAGAAAATTTTTGATGATCACTAATTATGTGCAAAGCCCTTACTGACACAAAATAAAATTAGTCACAAAAAATATGCACTTTTCGGGAAAATATGCTAGAAAAATTGTTTTCTGGGGTACATTTGTACCCCACCCGGGAAGACGAAGGGGTAATGGTCATTATTCCCGCTTGCCCACCAATCACAAAATTTCTCAAATTAAATAAGTAGTACCATGGAAACAATATACCTGAACAAACTCAAAAGTGTCATTGTCAAACGCGTAGTGCTTGTGTATTTGTATTGAGATGGAGGTCATGGAGGAACAGAGAGCGTTTTTGGAAATAAAATTGAAAATAAATTAATTTGTCGTAAATAAAGTAGATACTACTCGCAATAATGGCTATTATTCCCTCGGAATGTTACTCCCTCGCCGCTAACGCTACGCTAATCTACCCCCTTCAATCCGGCCGCACACTCGTTATATTTTGCTATTTTATTGTTTTTACCGTTCCAAAGAGTATTCCAAAAAAAAAAGTTTGTTGGTATTACAAAGATTTTTTAAGAAGTACATATGTATCTATTCCAATTTCCAATAGACTTTGATAAATAGGGTTGAATTTAGTTTATTTATCCCTTCGGTGGTGAAATTTCAAAGTCTAATCTATAAGGAGAGTAGTTCTGGTAGTACCTATTCTTACATAAAATATTATAAATTTTGACTTACATAGCGTAGCAAAGCTTATAATTACCTACTATTTATAATTATATTAATTTGCACTACTTATTTGGATGATTGTAAAAATTTGATTGTCGTTTCTGATTCCGTTGCTAACTTTCATGACGTATATAAATAGCACTTTATTAGTCAATCGGACATAAAAATATCAATCAATTCTGTCGTTTCGTTCATAACATTTTATTTTTGTTGAAAACAGTTTTCACATTTTCGAATTTTATTTTATTACCATCTAGGTAAAAAAAAAAAGGTCGGTACTGTCAAATAATTCTTCTCTTGTGAATTTAATTTTGAGAGAACTGAAGTCGTCCTCTCAAAATTAAATTCTACCAACCTCATTTTGATTAAATTTCATCTTTATTATTGTACAAACTTTCAAAAGTAACAATAATGAAATATTTTAACTCCCAATGTAAAATTTGTACAGGGTGGCCAGTTTAAGAGGGGCCTATACCTTATCTCGAAATCTACAAGGGCTGTAAAAAAAAAATTAATACAAAAATTGTTTCTGTTAAAATTATTTTGCATTGCTTTCGTTGTCACTCTACTATATACAGGGTGGACAAATAAAATTTCATTTTTTTTTTAATGGAACACCCTGTATTTTAATAAACTTTTACATAGCCGTTTGAAAGACAAATCCAACGATATACTGGACATGTGTCTATGATATACCGTTTCGAACTTACTAGCGATTATCTTCAGGATTTGGGGTAATTTTTAACAGTCATTGTTACGTAACTGATAAATTTTTAAAACTTTTTTTGCATGATATTTTCTATAAATTAATGCTTTTTTTTAGATTGTATTTGAATTTGAAATATTTGTTTGAAAAACGCGGTGTTGCCACGTTTCGCAAAATGTCACGCTTTTCAATTTTTTTAATTGGGCCCTCCTGTAAATTTTCGAGTTTTTGGATAGCCCTTTAAAAGACAAATTTAACGATATACTGGACATGGATCTGTGATACACCGTTTCGGCCTGATTAGCGTTTATCTTCAGTTCTAACACAATATCTCATGTCACTCCCGTTGAATGGAAAAAATGTCTAATTTTTCAGTAGACCTATTTCCAGTATATCGTTGAATTTGTCTTCATCAAAAGGGCTATCTAAAAACTCGAAAATTTGCAGGAGGGTCCCATTTATAAAAAGCGTAACATTTTGCGAAACGTGGCAGCACCGCGTTTTCCAAACAAATATTTCAAATTTCATTATAGTCTGAAGAAGACCACTATTTTATAAAAAATATCATGCAAAAAAAAGTTTTGAAAGTTTATGAGTAACGTAGCAATGACTGTTTAAAATTACCCCAAAGCCTGATGATAATCGCTAATAAGTTCTAAACGCTATATCACAGACACATGACCAGTATAGTTATACGAGTCTAGCACTACGACGTCTGAAGGGCAAGGGGGAATAACGCTATTCATTTTGAGCTTTATGCTGCCTGTCATAGGCGTGCGCGCAGCGTTTTTAAATATTGATTTTTCCTGAATGTAGGTGTGTAACATAGATAAATATTAAGGTATTTTCTATTGGAAGTCAAATAGGCAATATTGCAATTTTTTTATCCGCATTCTTTCTATAGTGCTAGACTCGTAAGGCGAACTTTATATCGTTGGATTTGTCTTTCAAAGAGCTATGTAAAAATATAATAAAATTTAGGGTGTTCCTTTAAAAAAAAAGGAATTTAATTGGTCCACCTTTTGTATAGTAGAGTGACAACAAAAACAATACAAAAAAATTGTAGATAATTTTATTAAAAACAACTTTTGTATTTAAGTTTTTTTTACAGCCCTTGTAGATTTCGAGATAAGTTATAGGCCCCTCTTAAACGGGCCACCCTGTACTTTAGTTGATAATTTTCGAAACGCCCTCTTTAGGTAGGTACGTTCCCATCTGACTTCTCTTGAGGAAAAAAATTGAAGGCTAGAATATCTACAGAATTCGATCTTCACTCTGAAAACATATATACCATATACCTCTTAGACCTGAAAAAGAAACCTTCTCAATAATATTATAAATATTTTAAATAAACGATAGGTACCCTTTCTTTTTAAAACCAAAAAAATATAGTTTTAATTAGTATAAGGTAGAGGGACTTCTGCATAAAATTTAGTAAAAAAGAATGAAATTTAGTACAACTATTCAAATGAACTAGTACAAATTTGTTTGGCGGACGTAGCGGATTTCAAGCAACCAATGCTCCCAATTGCCTTGGGTTTCTGCGATCTGCAGTGTTGCCACGTCAGAAACCAATAGGTCGCTAATGATCGGATAAAAAGTCGCCACAGCATTTTTTAAAAATATTCCTGTAGTTACTGCCAATTTTAAATGAAACATTGGGTTTTATGTAAGAAAAAAAAAAACTTCTATTTTATACAAAAGTTTACAAAAGAAAATGAAAAATATATCCAATTTAGAATTTATTGAAGAATAAAACAATAAGAAACTTCTATTTTTCAAAAAAATTTAATAGAAAAAGATTGGTAGAAGCCTTAATCCATGACTCCACTTGACAAATCATTCCACCCTTTTTTCGAAAAATATCAAAATTTCCGGTCCCAGTCTTTCTTGTAGAGCAGATTAACTTAAAAAACTTTCACATTTAGACTATAGGTATTCTTTTATAATAAATAATTTCAAGAATGTACGGTACGACAAAATATTTTTGAATACAAAGGCCTCAGCCTACTAAACTCCAAGAACGGTTACTTTTTGCTAATATAATATACCTAATCAACTTCGTATTATTTACCGGTCTTGTTAGTGACGCATAGTTTTTGGGACATTCTGTATATCTGCGAACGATACTAGAGCGTCAACAGACAGACAGACATACGAAATTGAGAAAACATGATTTTCGTAATAGTAAGGACCTGAAAACGTACCTATAAATGTGAAAAAATCTTGAGGTTGATTTTTTACGGGAATACAATACCTATGTATGTACTTCCCTTACTACAGGGAGAAGTAAAAATAAATAAAATAATTTAATTTTAATCGTATTCACTAGTACCCAGAGCTGTCAGAAGAAAGTATCTTAGTTGCTAGAGTATCTTAGTTACTTTTCAAAAGGATCTGTAACTTGTATCTTAAAAAAGTATCTTAAATACCAAAAAATATCTAAGACGCCAAAAAAGTATCTCAGATACTCAAAAGTATCTTAGATACTGAAAAGTATTTGACTAAGATACAGACTTTGGTGTTATCGTCTAGCTCTAGACAAGCAACAAGAAATCCGCACCTTAAGAAAGGGTTAAATTACATGAGGAGGTCGAAAAAGTGTGTCAAACTTTAAAATAAAGGTACCCGTTTTTTTTTTTTTTTTCTAGCAAGTAAACAGGCTTTCTAATAGGTACTGAATTTATTCTATTCAAAAATTCCACCCCGTATACCTGAGTG